CATGTTGAACTCGATTTGCTTGCGAAACGTAAGGTGTTTAGACCTGTAACTCTTACTCCTCCACATGTGAAACCCGTTGGCTACAAGTGGTTTTCGTTCGGAAGCATAATGAGAAAAACAAAATTGTGCGTTACAAAGCTCGTCTTGTTACACAAGGCTTCTCACAACGCCCCGTGATTGATTATGACGAAACTTATTCACCCGTTATGAATGTGATTACTTTTTGCTACCTTATCAGTTTGGTAGTTTCTGAAAAACTGAGTATACAGTTGATGGGCGTAGTAACTGTGTGTCTCTATGGGGATCTTAATAAGGAAATTTATATGAAAGTTCTCGAATGACTTACATTGACTAGATCAAATATTTCCAAACCCCGAAATACACTCTCAATTCGGCTAAGGAGTTCACTTTACCGTTTGAAGCAATCCGAAAGAATGTGGTATAACCGTGTGAGTGAGTATTTAACTAGTCAGGGATATATGAACAACAAACTATGCCCTTGTGTGTTCATTAAGAAGTCACATTCTAGTTTTACGATAGTTGTAGTATATGTCGATGACATGAACCTCATTGGAACTCCTGAAGGGCTCGTGAGAATTGTCGCGCACCTGAAGTTGGAATTTGAGATGAAAGATCTAAGAAAGACTTGATACTATCTTGGTCTCGAGAATCTTAGTACATTAATCGAACTACACCCAGAAGGTGTTGCGCCGCTTTAATGAGGATAAAGTGAAGCCTTCAGGCACTCCTATGGTAGTTCGATCGCTAGATGCAAAACGAGATCCCTTCCGTCTAAAGGAGGATGATGAAAAGATTTTGGAGCTTGAAGTTCCTTATCTAAGTGCAATAGGCACTTTATTGTATTTAGTTTAATGCATTAAACCTGACATATCCTTCACTGTTAATCTTTTGGCAAGAAGCAGTAATGCACCAACATGCAAACACTGGACTGGTGTTAAAGACATCTTCCGCTACCTTAAGGGTACTATGGATTTGGGCTTGTTCTATCCCTACAGATCCTCGAGTGATGCTGCACCTCCCGCTTCTTGAGTTGATTCTCGCATTGTTGGTTATGCCGACGCATGATACTTATCTGATCCCCAGAAGACGCACTCTCTAACAGGTTATGTCTTTACCGTTGGAGGCACTACAATCTCTTAGAGGTTAACTAAACAAACCTTAGTTGCCTTCGTCTAACCATGCTGAAATTCTCGCCTTATAAGAATTAACTCGGGAATGTTTTTGGTTGAGAGCAGTTGTGGGCCATATTCAAAGCTCCTGCGATCTTTACCTCGTTGTGCATGTCCCGACGACAATCTATGAAGACAATGCATCATACATCAAACAGCTCAAGAAGGGTTACATCAAGGGAGACAACACCAAGCACATTGCGCTGAAATTTTTCTTCTCACATCAACAACAAGTACATCAGAAGATTGAAGTTACGCAAATCCTTTCACAGCAAAATGAACTATTTATCAAACTAAACCACACTTTTTTACCACAGCAAAATGAACTATTTATCAAAGTGAACTATTTATCAAAGTGAACTATTTATCAAAGTGAACTATTTATTAAACTGAACTATTTATCAAACTGAACTATATATCAAATTGAACTAGAAAACCACACTTTTATACCAAAGCAAACTGAACTATTTATTAAAGTGAACTAGAAAACCACACCTTTTTACCAAAACAAATTGAACTATTTATCAAACTAAACTAGAAAACCACATTTTTTTACCAAAGCAAACTGAACTATTTATCAAACTAAACCACACTTTTTTACCACAGCAAACTGAACTATTTATCAAAGTGAACTATTTATCAAATTGAACTATTTATCAAAGTGAACTAGAAAACCACATTTTTTTACCAAATCAAACTGAACTATTTATCAAACTGAACTATTTATCAAATTGAACTAGAAAACCACAATTTTTTACCAAAGTAAACTGAACTATTTATCAAAATGAACTACAAAATCACACTTTTTTACCAAAGCAAATTGAACTATTTATCAGACTGAACTAGAAAACAACATTTTTTTACCAAAGCAAATTGAACTATTTATCAGACTGAACTAGAAAACCACATTTTTTTACCAAAGCAAACTGAACTATTTATCAAACTAAACCACACTTTTTTACCACAGCAAACTGAACTATTTATCAAAGTAAACTAGAAACCCACATTTTTTTACCAAATCAAACTGAACTATTTATTAAATTGAACTAGAAAACCCATTTTTTTACCAAAGCAAACTGAACTATTTATCAAACTGAACTATTTATCAAAGTGAACTAGAAAACCACACTTTTTTACCAAAGCAAATTGAACTATTTATCAAACTGAACTAGAAAACCACATTTTTTTACCAAAGCAAACTGAACTATTTATCAAACTAAACCACACTTTTTTACCACAGCAAACTGAACTATTTATCAAAGTGAACTATTTATCAAAGTGAACTAGAAAACCACATTTTTTTACCAAATCAAGCTGAACTATTTATCAAATTGAACTAGAAAACCACATTTTTTTACCAAAGCAAACTGAATTATTTATCAAACTGGACTAGAAAACCACATTTTTTACCAAAGCAAATTAAACTATTTATCAGACTGAACTAGAAAACCACATTTTTTTACCAAAGCAAACTGAACTATTTATCAAACTGAACTATTTATTAAAGTGAACTATTTATCTAAGTAAACTAGAAAACCACATTCTTTTACCAAAGCAAACTGAACTATTTATCAAACTGAATTATTTATCAAAGTGAACTAGAAAACCACACTTTTTTACCAAAGCAAATTGAACTATTTATCAAACTGAACTAGAAAACCACATTTTTTTACCAAAGCAAACTGAACTATTTATCAAACTAAACCACATTTTTTTACCACAACAAACTGAACTATTTATCAAAGTGAACTATTTATCAATCTGAATTATTTATCAAATTGAACTATTTATCAAACTAAACTATTTATCAAAGTGAACTAGAAAACCACATTTTTTTTGCCAAATCAAACTGAACTATTTATCAATCTAAACCACATTTTTTTACCAAAGCAAACTGAACTATTTATCAAACTGAATTAGAAAACCACAATTTTTTACCAAAGCAAACTGAACTATTTATCAAACTGAACTATTTATTAAATTGAACTAGAAAACCACACTTTTTTATCAAAGCAAACTGAACTATTTATCAAAATGAACTAGAAAACCACACTTTTTTTACCAAAGCAAACTGACCTATTTATGAAACTGAATTATTTATCAAAGTGAACTAGAAAAACACACTTTTTGAACTAGAAAATCACATTTTTTTACCAAAGCAAACCGAACTATTTATGAAAGTGAACTAGAAAACCACATTTTTTTACCAAAGTAAACTGAACTATTTATCAAACTGAACTATTTATCAAAGTGAACTAGAAAACCACACTTTTTTTTACCAAAGCAAACTGAACTATTTATTAAACTAAACCACACGTTTTTACCAAAGCAAACTAAATTATTTATCAAACTGAACTAGAAAGCTATACTTTTTATCAAAGTAAACTGAACTATTTATCAAACTAAACCATATTTTTTTACCAAACAAACTGAACTATTAATCATCTCCAGGACCATTGTTTTATCAATCAATAGTCAAGACTGCACTGGCAAATCTTTTAACCCACCAACTAAAAATGAAATTGAAATAATTTTCAATGAAAGGGTTCCTACAGAAAACATTCATGCAGGTTCTAAGTGGCAAACAAAATTAAGGTGGAGATTGGTAATTTGAACAATCATCGCCACCTTCCCCTCTTCAACCACTGCAATGAGGCCAATCCATGCTCGCTCACCCTCAAACTCGCACACCTCCTCCAGTTCTTCCCCGCCGTCGGTGCCCAAACACTATCTGCGATTCCCAACAGTATCAAATTGCTAAAAAACCACTCAAACCAATAAATAATCAGAACTAATAAATCATGGGGATCATTTGATTCTTATTAAATGAACATAATTTATCTGTTTGGCTGCCCAGAAAATGCCGGAACAACAATTCAACATTTCACTAACTAATCCCAGAAACCAAGGACTAACCAACCCAACAAAAATTACATGCATTTTGCTCAGAAATTTTGAAACTTTTGCAGCCTTGACAAACAAAACATAAAACAAAAGACCATTTAAAATTCACATATTTTCCTTCATTTTCTCAGCAACCAAACACATGCCAAATTTCGGAGAGCAAACCAAATACTTACAAAGAAGGAACTTTGCCAATTGCCCACGTTGAGGTTAACCAAGCAGCGAGTATCTTCGATGCTCATGGTTCCTCGCTTGGCTTTCGAGCTTTGTCTTGAACTGGGTGGAGGACGACGAGTTGGAAGCTCGGATTCCCGGGCTCAGAATTGTAGAAATGTAGTGAGAAAACAGGTTTGGGGCGTGAAGATTTGTGGGTAGGAGTTGGATTTTGTTGAGGTTTGATGGCTTGGGAATGGAAAGGAGTGAAAGTGAGTAGCAATAATGAGAATCGAATCTTAGCCATTGATGAAAACTCGTAGTTCTTCACCATGTCGGTCTGATGTCCAAATGGCGTTGGGAGGGATGATGAATTTTAGTAACTGCAACTTGGCTAAAGGGCCTGGGTTAGGCTCCGTTAGGGGCAATTTTGAAATATTAATTGTTATGCGGTTTGGGGTTTTTGGTGAGCCCGTGTGTTTTAGTTTTTGTAGGGCCTAAGATAAAAGTTTTGTGTCCTAATGATCAAAATTTAAGCCCTTTTTATTAAATAATAGTTTAGGGTGGTTTTTCATTAAATAAAAGTTGGCTCAAGGCCTTTTCATTAAAGCTCTCTATAGATTATCCTTGTAAAATATTAGTTAAATAAAAAATATTTAAGACATCTAATTGAGTAAAAATAAATTGACGAACACTAAGTTCTAAGAAACATTTTCATCGTGACAATTAAATAGGAAAATGGTGATTGAATTGAATTTTTGCAATGATGATTTATGAATCGAGACTTACAAAATTGAACTTCAGATCATCAAAGATCGATGTGGAATACATCCCACAATTAATCCAATTTTTTCAAAAAAAATGGACATCCCTTCCGTTAGGAGGCTCTATATCTCTATATATCATGACAAAACCTCAAAACCATCTACAACACAAGGAACTACAATGTATGTTTGACCGTCTAAATCGTCGAAGGAATCATGCCAGGAAATTATCCAGCGCTTGTCATCATCAAGGCAAGAAGAACAATGGTGATTGCAGTGACTACTATAGCACAAGCAAATAACCACATACGCGTGCTCGGCCCTTTGTTATTCTGGCTCTCTTGACTTCCCAATTCAACTTCTCTAAGAAGTTCTCTCACTTCATCTATGTCGTAATCTTTGGCAGCTTGGGTTAGTCGACTTTGAATCTTCTCAAGCATTGTGATCCTCCTATCCCTGCCTGCATCCTTGGCTGGCCACCAGAAACTTGTAAACTTCCAAAGGAGGATTCCAGCATAAATGGCCACGACACAGTCTACGCTATAATGATGACGCTCCCGTATTTCTCTCTGTGCAGAGTGCCCGACAAGCAACCATATGATAACTGAGCTATAACCACCATAAGCTTCCTGCAACAATCGAATCAGATTCAAAGAAATCAACAATCAGCACCACAAGTAGGTTGCTTCTTAGACAAAACAAGTGGCAGTGGCTAGAAATTTCAAAGTACATATTAGGCAGTACCGTCCAGGCCATAGCTGTCAATACAGCAACTAGCACGTGTCCACTGAACATGAGGTCATTGCAGCCGCCTCCAGCATTCTTCAGTGAACTATACCATGGTCCATCCAACGCGGTTGGTCGCAGAAAATCTATTAGGAAGCTCATTCGACCCCAATCCGGCCGAAAGTCCCCAAGTAATTTTCCAGTATTGGCTAGGGGAAACAAATAAAAAATGTTGTAACATACACAGCCACATTATCCTCAAAGGGGAATGCATTTGCGGTCAGGTAGAAAGGATACTATTGGTGCTGAAGTTGCAATCGAGAAAATGAAACCTAGGGGTCAGATCAAGAAGAAAATGAACCTATTATGTATAGTACTTACCAAAAGCTATATCCTGTCGTAGCAATTCACGAATAGCATTAGAATCCGAAGCATACGGAACATAATACTTCTGAGCCCAGCGATGAGGATATGAAGGGACTGTGAAACGAGTAGTAGCACACCAAGGCCGGGCAGATGGTAGAACAGTTGATACAAAAGTTATGGCACGAAGAAGACGGCCAATACCCATGGTGAACATGTACCGTGCACCTAGTCCAAGGCCAGGAGCTTTCACAGAGTCAAACAGTACGGAAAAAGCCAACATCACAAACAACATGAGGAAATGATGCAGTCCAATAATACGAGCTCTCAATATTTCAACTAATGTATGAGGAAGTTTCTCATTCAGTGCCAACAGCAACCACTGGCCAGTATCGGGAAGAGGAGCTGTACGACTGTCAAGTATCAAACATAAAAAGGTCAATTAGTTTCCTCTCATCAAATATTTGGCTAAAAACTATGGCTAATATTGCATGAGAAATGAAAAAGTATCCTCTCTATAGCGATGATAAGAAATACAAGAAAAATGACTGCATCAAATCATCTGATAGACACAGACCTTATAATCATTGTATCAAATCATTCAATTATAACAACAATGCCGAGGGACTTTATTTAATAGAAACCAAATGAAAAATGTTGCTTGTGTGTGGAAGTTTGACAAGAAAATTTACAAGATGATACTTTTCCGTGTATTTTCTTTTCAGATTCCTTTTGTTTGTTAATATTACATTACATTGTAACTTCTTCCCTAACAGCACAAGCTTTTGAGGTCTAGTGGTCGTCTAACATGGTATTAGAGCCTTGGTTGCGGGAGTCCTTAGTTTTAATACTCAAATTCTCATTCCTCATTGTTTGCTGATTCATTCCCCAACAGTTAAAGCTTTTGTGGCCCAAAGGTTGTCTAACTATCGTGATGGAATTTGCATTTATATTGAAGCACCCAATTTTACATCTAAATAAAGAGCTAAAAGAAGTGGAGCAAAGATGCATAAATTTTTTTGTAGGTCGGCACCCGAAATTCAAGTCAGATAATATGCTTGAGTTCTTGGATTTGCTAGCCTTCTCTAAACAATATGGGGGAGTTTGACATAAATTATTGGTGACAACCAAGCAAATCTGTAATTTCATCATTTCAGTCGCTTTATTGGCAAGTTAGAACCATATCGTTTCATGCGGTTTGGCAAAAATGGTGGTGGAAAGTGATTGAGTGGGAACCATTGCAGCCATGCACAGTTCATTGAAGGATGTTTCCAGTTTAGGACTATTGGTTGAAGACGTGAAGGCCTTGGCTGCTCCGTTGAATGACGTTCGTTTTTCAATTCGCTCCTCGAGTATGCAATGGCGTCGCGGATAGGCTTGCCATATTAGCATTATCGATTCATAATGAGTTAGCGTGGAATGAGACCTTACATTATTCTCTTCCATTCCACGACATTGATTGTATTCGAGTCTGAGTATTAAACCATCGTTTCAAAAAATAAAAAATAAAAAACAATATATATATATATATATGTATGTATGTATGTATGTAACATCAGATCCTTAAAATGCTGGCACTAATCACATAAAATTGACCTAATCTGGTAATTAGTTAGCACAATAAACACAACAGGTGATTCAGATTACAACGAAATGCCGAAAAAACAACAAAATCAAACTCCACCCACATAATATTTAGGAATTTAACACCCGAAATAAAGCAGAGAACTCGAAATGCAGATCAATATACACAGAGGGAGACAGAGGGAGACAATACCTGTTCCAATCAAGGCCGAGAACGGCGGTGACAAAGCGGACGCAAAGAGCTTCAAGGAGAAGAGCCAAGATCATAAAGAGCATAGAACCGATGAAGGGAAAGACGACGCGAAACTCAGAGGACCAGTGCTTGTAGAAAGGAACCCGACTGACGGCAATGATGGCGAGTACGGTGTGCAGCGCAGGCTGAAGACGGCCGTGCCACGTGGGCGAGAGGTGGCGGAGGTAGTCGACTGCCACATAGGACACAGCGGCGATCCCAAGGCCGCCGGACCTCAGCGGCAGCCACCGCATGGTGGTGAACGAGAAAGAGTGAGCTGATGGTGAGGCTGGTTTAAAGAAAACCGGGAGCTGGAGGAGGTTGGCACTTGGGGTTTTGAACATTAGTCTCGTCTCTCATGCAAGTATTTGTTTTGTTTTGTTTTTGTTTGTGGGTTTCTATTTGATTTTTTCACTTTTTAATGATTGGAGTAATTCTGACAATTTAATTTTCTTATTATTAAATTGACGCATCATAACGCGCCACTCACCCGCATTGCCTCCTTGCCAAGGTATAAAATATCTATGATATCGGAAATATTGGTAGTCCAAAAACACGGAAATATCGATGGAAATATCGGAATATTATCGATATCAATAAAAATTGAATAAAAACCACGGAAATTGTAAGAAAAACTTGGAAATTTTTATTGAAACTTTGCAGGATGTTTATCTAGTCAATTATCTATTAGTTTATCACAAAAAATTGGAAGGAAATATATTGCATGATGGATTTAACTGATTTAAGTTGATTATATAGTGAGCTGACAAACATTGTGAGTGTAGAAAATAAGTAGTAATTAATGAAAGAAGTTTAAACACACCATAATCATTTATATATAATGCAAATTTTCAAAGTATAATTCTGCATGTATCTTATTGTTGTGTATATGTATGACACGCATATACAAAGAGACAAAGCAAGATCAAACAAACAAAACATCACTAAACTAACAACGACTTGGTACTTTGAATTTAGAGAAGTTGTTTGGGCTTGTAAAGTTTGACTAACAAAGCAAGCCCACTTGCTGCACACACATGCCACACATGTGCATAACTCTAGCTGTGGTTTGGATATGAATTCACATGGGATGCTCCCTCTGCCTCGAGCCCAAAGCCGAGCCAACGGCTGTTTGCTTTTTTTTTTATTGTTTTGTAGAAACCAAAACTGTACAGCCTTTTAGAAAAAGGAGAAAGGCTCTTTACTTCTCATCAAACCATCATTTCAAACCATACCGTGAAGAAGTCCCCATAACAAGTCCCCATGTCTATTGCTCATTCAAACCTTCAACCACTCTGTCTCTCTCTAAAATAATAGAGAGGTTCTCAACCTTCTCTCTTTGTAATCTCCGAAAATGCTCTTATCTTTCCAACCTCAAGCCCAGTGCCCTTTATCACAACCCAGTGTGGCCTCCACCACAGTGGCACACACTCCGGCGAGCACCATCACCACCTATGGACCGTTCCTCCTCCCTTTCTCACCTCCCGGTGAGCACCATCAGGCAAGGGGAGGCGCGGATCTTGATGGGTCTAAGCTTCTGAGCGTGGATCGTTCATTTTGATGGGTCTGAGCATCTGAGCGTGGATTGCAGAGAAAGGCGCAGATCTTGGCAGCTGCGACGACGGAGCCTCGGCTGCAGTTGCGACGCCGACGACGGAGCCTTGGCGATATTATCGATATTATCGGTAATATCGCGATATTATCGATAATATCGATAGTATCGCGATATTATGACGATAATTAAGTGTATTAGTGTAAAAATATCTCCCTCTAAAAAAACGATATTTCGCCGATAATATCGATATTTCATACCTTGCCCCTTGCTATTTGGGCCACTGGAGATGTATTTTTAGGTTAAAGGCAATTTCAAAGCACTTGCCAAAGGGCAATGGGTGGAAGTGCCCTAACATTGTTGCATAAAAAAACCTAAAATTAGAGCATTCATTCCCATATAAAGCAAATAATCAATTACTAAAAATCATTTTACCACTGACTAATATATATAGTAATATTTCTCTCTAATTAAAAGTGTAAGATCTTAGATTTAATTTGAGTTCAAGATCGCTTTATTATGGTTAGATCATTGTGGCTTAACCAAAACCTTACAGCCCTTAAGCTTCATAATTGAGCTCATATCATGTTTCTAAATAACAATACATTTGAGAGCTCTTAAACCTAAGAACATGCGGGAAGTCCACATGATTATGGATAACTGGGCAAATCCGCACCTTTTAAACTTAATAGGTGGTAATACCGCAGCTGTAACGAAACCGCCCCCTATACTTGTTTAACATTTTAAACTATAAAAAAATATACAATTTTATATATGTTAGAAATAAAATATAGAGAAAGAATGAATAAATAGATAACAAACAGACTGGGAGAACAAGTGTGAGAGTTGGAGTTGTGGCTTAAAAACTAATTTTATTATATTGGATAATGTAACAAATTCATATTAATTAGTAAATAAAAAGGACAAATTTTATTCATTCACGAGTTTGACTTTTATATTATAGAGATAATATACTATGAATAAATCCAAAAGACTTAAGGTATGGAAACACTAAAGTTAGCATGGTCTCGTACAAAGCGTGTTGGGCACATGGAGGATATACAAGTGTTTCTCTTTTAGACAAGTTCAACGAACGCTGACCGCCCAAAAAGCTTAAATGTATGGATCTTTACCACATGTCAAAATTACAGAGCTCCGAACTGCAGTATGCAAATAGTTCTTAGACATTAGGCATCATCGGATATCTTGCGCTTATGGATATGAACTTTAACTTCACCTCAAAGCCCTCATTGTCATGCATGACCCAATAGGGTGTTGTTCGGGTTCATGTGTATGAGTATGGAGATATCTGAATGTACAATAAGGAATCTATCACCTTTTGGTAATTGTTCAGTAGAAGAAGATACCTCTCAAAGCTACTTGAAGAACCATCTCGAAAATATATGGCCATATTAATTATATCTTTAACTTCACCTCAAAGCCCTCACTACCTCGCATGGCCCAATAATGTGTTGCTTGGGTTCATGTGTATGAGTATGGAGATATATGAATATGCAATAAGGAATCTATCACCTTCTGGTGATTGTTTAATAGAAAGATATCCCTCGAAGCCACTTGAAGATCCATCTCTAGCCAGAGTAACTTTTGATCAAGCTATGTTTGTAAGAACTGCTTTAACATAGAATGCATCATGGTGATCATAGATAACTACATGTGATTTTGACAATATTCCATATCACATCAATCTTGATTGGGATACGGATGATAGAAGAACCGAATTACATTGTAACTACAATCAAAGGTTCAGAAGAGTATCATGATTATTTCATGAATACTTTTATCTAATTTGGATAACCATGACGTGTTGCTATCACTCATAGTTTGTGGAATTAAATTAGTTTATTAATTAATTTCATTGCTCGTTTTAGTTAGAACTGTTATAGGCGTCACACACCTATAGCTTCGAGAGTAAATAAATGTTTTTAATAACTTCTTTAAGATTTTATCGTTGGTTTTTATCATGATAATTATCTTGGAGTTTTTATTTAAAATGTTTTGACGGCAACAAAAGCAAAGATGATAGAATCCTTCTCCAACGCAATCACGGTTCTGATGCTTTGCATTTTGTAAGCGGTGTGATTACCTTCTAATTCCACAAATTCAAATGAGATGAAGGATTGTTAATGTGGGCACGGGGAACAACATGATTTAGGATTTATAACTACCCTCCATGCAATTCATGCATGCACGGGATGGTTGGTCAAAGGATATCCAAGATGCCAAAATATAAAAAGAAGAGATAAATTTTATCCCCACCAAATGATGATCAGGGTGCCAAATCACAAGAGGGTTTGAAATAGCAGGACTCTATCCTATTGCTTGGTTTGAGTCGATTGGTGCTCGTAGCTTAGGTGGATAATGACAAGTGAGGATCATTTGTCACAAGGAATATCTCATATTCATTTTGTTCAATGAGCATCCTCGCCCCATAAAAACAAAGCTGTAGACAATATTCGAGCTCTCTTCAAATAAACACACAAATCTGCTTTGAGCAAATTCTCAATCTACGCGAAACCTCTTGAGAATTTTATTTTACTGTTTTTCCCACCAAAACATCTTCAACTTGGATAAACAGTATTGTGAAGGCAACCGACGCCATCTTCAGTTTAGATAAACAGCACTGGAGCTATCAGGCAACCAAGGAGTACCTTCAGTTTTGATAAACAAGACTGCTTCGAGACCGACTGATTAATTATCTATCCAAGTCTCAATCAGCAAGGAATCTTTGAATCCTTGTTGGAAGAGATTATCCCATTAGCCTTTCGGCGAGTTGGGGTGTTACCAGGTTACGATATTCAGCATACTAAAAGTCGAATATTTATTCAACTTCATAGTAACTAGCAGCCTTGTCTTCAGGCTCTAGAATCCGAAGGCTGAGACGCGTTCTTTCCTCGGCCGCAGTCGCAAGATTTAGAAGTCATCAGCGCGCCCAATGCCACAACAACATTCATTCACTCCCCGGCCATGCTTGGCTCACTAGTTGGCACGCCCCACATTCAACCGAAGGATGAAGTTAGCTTATTAGCTATTTGGTTTGCATATCACATAGGCTAAATAGCTTTTAAGGTCAACAGTCCCTAACGATCATTTTTGTCCTACAGAGAAAAGAGAGAAAAATCCTAGCTGAACTTCCTAGTGTGCCCAAGAGAATTAATTCAAGTGAATGATCTTGCTAGAATAATCAAATCCTTCACTTCATCATTTGTCTTTGGTGTGTAAGTATGGATACTCTTAGAGGCTGGGAGCTTTTCATGATCAATAATGAAGAGGAAGAACACAAGCATAAGGATTCATGTAAGTTAACCTCTTCGTCATCTTTATTTATTTCATTATCGATTACAACCAACCAAATATATAATCCGGATAACATATTATATGTTATTTATTATTGTTTAGGGTTTCCTTTCTGCTATGTGCAGACAGAGAGATGGGACAAGGGTGAGAATGAGAGATGGGAGGATTTTCTGCGAGGGTAAAAGGAACGGGTAAGGGACGTATGAGTATGGGTATAAGGGATGGAAAAGCATTTCATTTTCCATTTGCTTCCTGAAACCCGAGGGATTTTTGCGACTGCACAAAGGGAGAGAGAGATGGGGGTGTCCGTTAGGTGCCCTTTAATTGTCACTTTTGTGATTTGTCCACCCTTGATTGTTTTGTGATTCATTCTCACGAGCGTTCTATGGACAAGGTTTCATATTATTCCTTCCTTTTAATTTTGATATTGTTGTGCTTAATTTCTGTTTTATTTTATTGGGTGATTAGATTACAATTCACAATCCCCAATTTTTTATTTTTACTTTTTATGGCTCACTGCTATTGCTTTTATTGTGTCATATAGAACAAAGACTTTTTTGAATGTTATTACCGTTGTGGTTTCTATGTGTTCGATACTGATATTGGTCTTTCCCACATGTGCTCATTTCACAAGGTTTCATATTTTTCACAGGACTTGCTATGGGCACCGGCGCCGGTGGGCTCGGCCCTTCCATCTCCTCCGACTGCAGGTGCATATATACATCTAAACCCTTTAATATTAGTTAAAATCTACACAAGCATCCATGCCATTTAATGAATAATTAAGAACCATTGGATGTCATGTAATCAAAAGACTTAATAAGAGTGTAAAAGTATTTGTAAAAATATTTGTCCCTTGATCCTATCCCATATATATATATATTTGTGTGTCGTATCTACTTATTTGCATATGTGTCTTTTTGTAGGGTTTGTTCCTGATCAGTTTTCCGTCACTTTTAATAATCTATGCAATTATATTGCTTTGGATTAGGATTTCAAATTGAGGTTTTTAATACGTTTGTTTTGGAATTTTTGAGATTGTTGGAAATTTTAGGGTTTGATGATTTTTATTTCAAATATTCAGTTTTAAGAAGCATAATAACAATGCATAAGGAGGACCCAAGGCAAGTGTAGCCATTGCAAACACTAAGGATTCCAGTATTGCTTCTACGCAGCACGACGGTGTATAAAATGGAGCCCGTGTACATCCCCAATTACATGGTATAGATTTCTAAGTATCATTTCTCTTTTACTCTAGAAAATGTATGTGTTTGAAGGAGTTTGGGAATCTTAGATAATTGTGTTCTTTTTTAACATCTGAGTTGCCCATTTTGTTTGATTTTCATTTCTTGGCAATGTTTTTCCTTCGACTGATTTAATGTAGGAAGTTCTGATACGCCCGTTGCAAGCACGGTTCCTGGACAACTGAAGCTTCAGCCTCTCATAGAAGCTCCTGAACTTTTCCAAAGGCTCCGACTTCTCAAAGAAGCTCCTGAATTGTTCCAAAGGTTCCAAAGGCTCTGACTTCTCAAGAACACCCACTACACTAGCGAAGGGTAAGTTCACAGTCAAGACCATGGATTTTGTTGCACTCAATGATGGGGAATGTAGGCATATTTTCACTATTATATAGCAATCATATGATGTCAATGCTAAATTATCAGTGTTCTCCCAAATAGGTGACTTAGTAATGAGTTTAACGTGCTGATATATGATATACAAATAAATGCAAAGAATCAGGTATTAACTTTTTCTGTTGGTTTTAGCCCCAGGATATGTGTTCAAGGGGCTTTGCCTTTTAGTTTGAGTCTATAAACCCTGGTTTCATGAATGGAATGCAGGTAATGTTATATGCTTGAGAACACGTGATTAAAATTCTCTAATTTCCTATATTTCTAAGTGCTAGACAAATTTATAGCATGTTTTTAAAAGCAGAAAGGTTGTGTCCCACCCACCTTTTCATCTAAATTTCTGATTATCCTAATTAAGGTTTTCTTAATTAATTATGCTTAAATATTGATCAGTTCTAAATTCAATTGCTATTGGTGTTTATAATTATTGATGAGAGTACCAAAAAAGCAGCGGTTGTTGATCCAGATAAACTTCAGAAGGTTCTAAAAGCAGCCCAAGAACATGGTATCGGTATCAAGATCATCCTCACAACTCGCCACCATAGTTAGAGAAATCGTCGGGATTGCAGGGAGAGAGAGATAGGGAGGGGTGGGGGTGGCGAACAGTGGCAAGTTAGGTTCGTGTATGCGGGATTAGCTGTCAGGTTCGTGTATGCGGGATGTGCTGTCCTTCGTCCATCCTGTGTCTGCATGTCCTCATTCACAAGGTAAGTACCATTTTTATACTTGATTTTCTACTGTTTGGTATGGTTTTAATTCTCCCTGCCATTTTTATATTCGTGCATGTCCTGATTGAAAAGCCAAGAAATCATTTTGAAATCTTTTGTCTACTGCTCATAGTCGCGTGTATGTTCTTCTCCAACCCCACCTCTCTTTCATCAACAAAGCTTGATAATTTGTTTTTTTTTTTTTGGAAAATTTTCCGATTTTGATTTTATTTAATTTTTTTTGTTTGTTTTGTTTTTGTTAATTGCAGCTGCCAGTAGCAATTTTCCCAGTCCACATGCCCTCGATGCAGCTCATGCTACTGTTCCATGCACCGCTACAAGGTATGCATGCTGATTTGTACATATTCTTATTTATTTTATTTTGTAATATTGAGCAAAATCAAACATTTGATCACCTTCTTTTGATTTTGGGTTTGGTGGGTTTGATGCGTTCTGATATAATTATTTGGTTTTGGTTGATCTGAAATTGGTGATTGCATAACACGTTGGAATGTGAATTTTCATGCATTTTGTAATTCTGAGTCTGTGTTTGGATGCTTTAATATGTTGGATTACCTTAGATATTGGCCCTCCGCGACTCCCTTGATTTATGCATGATGGAACTAATTTACTTTAGAATAGATAATTTTTCTGGTCTTCTTACTTTTGTTGGAATGTTGTTACTGTAATCTGTTAATTTTGGATATTTGTTTGTCATGGGTTCTGTAAAAGTAGACTCCAGTTGTGTCCTATCTGGTTTTTTGATTATTTTCTCAATTAGGCTTATTTCTTACCAATTTCCTTTGAGATTTGTGCATGTGTGTTTGTTAATGCTCTGTTTCTTCATTTTTACAGGAAATGGAATTGCTCTCTTCCTCTTCTTGGCAACCACGTATGCCCTTTCTCTCTCAAATTCTTTCATTTAGGGTCTAAAGTTGATGCCTTTTTGCCTAAAATATCATGTTGTTAAATGGGTTACGATATTTTGATTCTCTGCACATTTTGCATAGTGCAAAAAGCAAAATCTCTCTCTCTCTCTCTCTCTCTCTCTCTCTCTCTCTCTCTCTCTCTCTCTCTCTCTCTCTCTCTCTCTCTCTCTCTCTCGCTTTTTGTGGCTAAAGATCATGTCTTTTGTGTCATAAATTTGTTTTTGTTACATGGGGTTATGTATATCTTTTGGATAATAAAAAAAAATTGAATCTTTACTAGGTTTCTTTAAATTTCTTTGAATTCTGCTTTGTAATTTTGGTTTAGAAATGTGTAGAATTACATTTAAGAGGATCATAAGGAAGAGAAGCAAAGATCAGTTCTCAGGCATTCCCTACGTGAGATGACTATGCTTAACTGCCTACTTTCCACTTGGTATGCCGTTTTGCTTCTCACTCCTTCAACTGCTCTCTCTCTCGCTCTCTCTCTCTCTCTCTCTCTCTCTCTCCCCTCTTTGCTGTGTATTGCCTAATTAATTATTTACATTTGTTTATTTATCTCTGTAAAGCTTTCATGCTTGGATTTTAAACATATGATTCAATTAGAAACCTTTATAATGTTGATGGTAGTAGAACATTCAACAGATATATATTCAACATTAGGTGGCTCTGGCAAAATCATATAGACTAAGATTTGGTAATATATGGAGGTGAGACGAGCTATTTCATTCCGAACTAAGACCTAAGAATCTTCGCAATTCTTATCCTTTAAATTTGTATTTTTTTTAAATATTTATTAGTTTTTTGGTGATGCAGATACATGAACATGTTCAAAGGGAAATCATGAACCATAGATCACTGAAGCATCCGAATATCATTTGATACAAAGAGGTTAGTGATCATAAACTATTTTCATTTTGTATTATTTTAAAAAATATATTTTTTTTTGGTGATGCAGATGGATGAACATGTTCAAAGGGAAATCGTGAACCACTGATCCCTAAAGAATCCGAATATCATTCGATTCAAAGAGGTCAGTGATCATAAACTATTTCGTTTTGTATTTTAAGAGGATGAATTTGGCAAGTTTTGTTTGAATTTTGTATGAGGATCTGCTGGGGTTGGTTGGATGACGACAGAACATGCTAAATTTGGCCTTTGGTGTGCTTAAACTAGTACAAGGGATGGTTGGAACTTTGAACCCGGAATGTAGTAGGACTAAGAGAAATGCCCTACCCACCAGGGCAATCCACCAACTTGAGGAATTGTTGTTAAAATTACACTGCTAAAAATATGAGCTTTACTTCATGATTTTGTGTCTTATTCATGCAGTTACGCTTGAAATAGTTGGTTCCCGCCGCAACTCACGGGCTTATTTTCTAGTATGAACTATTACAAGCTTGAGTACAGTTGTTTCCGAACATAGCAAAACCATCTGCTGCCATGTTAGCCTCTCGAAATATAGAATTTATAGTATAGTTAGGAGTTTGATGTAGTAGGTGCCAAATGTTCTTTAGAATATATGAAATTTGTCAAGAAAATTGAATATCTTTCTTATTTGTTTTATCAAGGTCTTCCAATCACCTTCAATGTCAATTTTAGGATAACGCATTCAAACTGCCCAATGGATGAAAGCCCTTTTCAATGTTGTGGCCTCTGCTTGCAAAACAAAAAAGAAGCCTGAAGGAAGTATTCCTTAACTTTTTTTTTATTTTTTAAATAACCAAAATCATCTACATTAAGGGAGAGAGCTTGGCTTAACTTCACAACTCGCTAACTTTGAGAAGTTATCAATAATAGCCAAAATTTAACACCTAATTTCATAAATGTCACTTTTTCTAAAATCTTTCAAAAATAACATAAAACCCACTTAAATAGACTTAAATACCCTCAAAATTAAAACCAAATAAAATAAGGATGTAGTTGGTAATGTAATGAAAAAAAATCTGAATTGTGGCCTCTTCTAACTACATAGTTTTTCAATGAGGAAAAATAGTCAATGGCAGACAAATTGGGATCTGAGGTTAGCAATCCTTCTTATATACGCATTTGATAAGGAAGATAACTTTTGGCAGCTGTACGGTGTTTTTCTACGTACCCAATGCAGATGATTGCCCTAGTCTGCTTCTAGCTAGTGAGGTAGATTAATTTACAGAACATAAATATTCATTGTTTCAAAATTTTCTTGTAAAAAATTTGGATAATTTATTCATGCTTATCTTTACTTCTGCTCCATATATGTTATAGGTGGAGCTTTCAGAACTGCAGGATCCCAATCTTGCTTCAACTATGAGAGAACAGCAACATCGAGCCTTAATTTTGGGAAAAAATTGGGTATTAATCAGCCTGTATATCTTGTTATCATTATGCAGAAAAAAATTGATTACCATATGTTTTAACTCATTTGTGCACTGAGTATGGCACAAACAAACTAGAATTGGTGCGCTTGTTCAAGATGCAAATATACTAATGGAGCAAATGGAGAAACAACAATTCATTCCAGGCATCAGGAATGTCAGGAATACACTATGACTGCAATCATGCATCCCAACTTTCTTGAATTTCTTCTATATATGGATGTCGATTTTGAAGGTATTTAGGCCTATTCATGTGAGTTTTCTGTTATATTTGAAAGTTTTTATAAAAAGTAACATTTATGAAATTTGGTGTTAAATTTTGGCTATTAATGATAATTACTCGCTAACTTTTCTTAACTTATGATAACAAAATAAAGAAAGTGATAACAATTAAATAGAATTTATATTTTTGATCTTCTATACTATATGCTATAAATAACTTCTTAAAGGGTTTAGGCGTATATAACAAGTTAGGTTTGTTTTAGAATAGGTGCAGCGCGACATACGATTTTGATTATGCCATCCGAACTTCAACAAAAGTAGGTATCATTCCCATTTTTTCTTAATAAAGAATATTTAAATTATCGATGGTGTTTTTTTTTCTTCGTTTTTGAAGAGAAACGATAGCATTTTATTCAGAGGGAAATAGATCAAACTACATCAAGGAGGGCCTCCACAATGACATCTGGAGGCTCCTCAAACCAACCAAACTCATTGGAAAAAGAAACAGCCAACTTGGCCATACAATAAGTTAATATACGTTTACAATGATATAAACACATTATTAATTACCGCTCAATAGTCTTTTTTTAAGGGTAATATTACATAAAACAACCTCAACTATGGTTCGAAATACAATCTCATACCTCATGTTTTAAACATTGCAATATCATACCTTAACTAGGGTAATATTAATTTCTTTTCACTCTCCGTGTTACTGTCTCTCAACCTCTCCCTATCTCCCAACTCTCTCATCCCTCTCCTTTCTACAAAAGCAGAAAATTTATGTAGCACAGATACGGACACGAATAAGGCGATACGGCTATTTTCAAATATTAGGGTACGATATGGCATGAATACGTTAATTAAAAATATACATTGATGTATATTAATAAATATATTAATAATTGTATATAAATATATACGGCATGGACGCCAAAAAATATGCATTATTTTCTAATATAAATATAAATGGCCTTATTTTCTCATAAAACAGAAGCCCTGGTTTGAAAATAAAATATCATGTGACTTCAAAAAGACCCCACAATAGAATCTGCCGTCGTCGCTTTTTTCCAATTGCACATCTCGCTGTTTCGACACTCTTCTACAGAGAGCTCTTTCTCCCCTTCCTTTGGTTAGATCATTTCATCGTCAAGCTGCTTTTGTTGTGTATTCAAAATGTCGGATTCGCGTAACAAAAGCGTATTGACAACGTATCCAGATGTCCACTGGTAAACAGATACGTTCTGATACGTCATCAGCGTGTATCAGGTGCGTATTGTATCCTAGATTGTATTTGATATGGGATACACTCTTAAGCTGGCGTGTCCGGGCTTCATAGCAGAAAACGACGGCGTCTGTCATCGAAGCTAAACTACCACCCACCGGTAATAGCGGGTTGAATTTGTAAAGACCCTTTCTCATTTCTCTCTCTTCTCTATTTCTTTCTCTAAAACTCTACAATCTTCATCTCCACTCTAAAATCCTAAACGCCATTTTCTCTGATGCAGTCTCGTCTTTTTTGTCGTTGTCTGTCCACCAACATGGCCACAACTTCCTTTCAACTTCCGATTTCTTCACATTTGCTGAGATTTTCACTGATTGTTGTCGGAATGGCCTATGAGAGTATCAGTGTCTCTTCAGGTCACCCTATCGTTTTAGGCTCTGAGTCTGAAATTGGTGCTTCATCAACATCAACGGTATAATTTGGTTGCCAATCTAGAACTTGGGATTTGCGATTACCAGCTAGGGTTTCTAAATGTCTGTCTCCAAGAAGCCGAGATATGAATTTTGAAATTAGGGCTGTTTGGTTTCTATAGGAAAACAAAGTTCGAGCTCTGTATTTTGGGTAGTTAAACAGAGGATTAACTGAGAAATTTACGATTTTGTGTATTGATTACCGACTACGGTGGTGGTAGTTTGGTTTTAACAGTATAGGGAAAGGTTGAGAGACAGTATAAGGAATAGTAGAAGCCAAACTACCACCACCGTAGCCGGTAATCAATACACAAAATCATAAATTTCTTAATTAATCCTCTGTTTGGCTACCCAAAATACAGAGCCCAAACTTTGTTTTCCTATAGAAACCAAACAACCCTAATTTCAAAATTCATATCTCGGGTTCTTGGAGACAGACATTTTGAAACCCTAGCTGGTAATCACAAATCTCAAGTTCTAGACTGTCAACCAAGCGATACTGTTGATGTTGATGAAGCACCGATTTCAGACTCGGAGCCTAAAACGACAACGTGACCTGAAGAGACACTGATACTCTCATCAACATCGTCTACTAGAAGGCCATTCCGACAACAATTAGTGAAAATCTCGGCAAATGTGATGAAATTGGAAGCTGAAATGAAGTCGTGGCCATGTTGGCAGCCAGACGATGGCGGAAAAGACGAGACTGCATAAGAGAAAATAGCGTTTAGGATTTTAGATAGAGAGAGTGAAGGTGAAGATTGTAGAGTTTTAGAGAGAGAAATAGAGAAGAGAGAAATAAGAAACGGAGAGGGAATGGATTCAGGGATTTTGGTGGAGGGGCGGGTAGTTCGAATTGTTTATATAGTGAGGGGAGGTTAGTGCTGAATGGGTGATTGGTTTTCACGAGGATCGGTAATGTGTATGATTGGGCGTCAGTTGGATTGATTTGGTCCATATGGACATGTGGTGGCGGTTGGATTTACTGGATACTGGAGTACATAGAGCCCTCCCTTAAATAAAACTCATAGGTTTGAGATCAGATTACACACGGATTCGGCTTTCCATCAGTCCATCTCTCTCCCAAGTCCCAACATCTTATTCTTATACGATAAATTATTTAGTATATTGAGAATACGATCGATACATTAAGTATTATAATAAAAGTGGTTAAATTGTTTTTTAAATATTTAACCATTTGTCTTATGACATTTGGTATACCGAACTGGATACTAGACACACTAAAAAAAATCTCTCTTTATATACAGAAGTGGGACCACTTCATTCACCCTTTGTTATTTCAGAACATAAAGCGATGAAGGTGAGTCCCAATGGGCGGCCAATTGGGTTTATATCCAAGATAAAAGAACCAGCATATGCATCACCGCTTCCCACCCTCCCAGAATGGAGGGACACAAACCAATTATACACTTTAGAATGATCTCTGTTTGTGTGCATTGTTAGGTTTAGTGGGAAATGATCCACGCTGGATCCCTTATCTAGGGATCCTAAGGATCCTTTGATCGTGATCGTGACCGTTCATCGTGCGGTCAGTTTTTATTAGGTACTATTTATATTTAATTTTAAATTTTAAAATGATTTCTGACCGTACGATGTACGATAAATGATCACGATCACGGGATCCTTAGGATCCCTAAGAAAAGGATCTGGCAAGGATCCTTTTCTAGGTTAGTCGTTCGTACTTGACAGTTGATTGAAAATGAACTATATGGGCGTTAGACCATCTCCAACCGAAGGGTTCAGAGGGCCAGAGGGCCTAAAATAGCCCGAAAATTGTCTCTAATTGAGGGCCAGGCCAAAGGGCTCGTGGGCCCCACTGGACAAAAAAGGGCTAAAGGGCCAATCGGCTGACCATATTCAGCCAGCTAGCCCAATTTGTCCTTTTTTTTTTTAATTTCTAATTTTTTTCCTACACCATTTCTCACATATTTTTCACCATTCCATATTATCTTACCTAATTTATTTCAATTCTTCACATTCCATACTATAGCCCTTTGGCCCTCGGTTGGAGACAATTTTTTGTGACAGGGCTAAAACGAGCCCTATGGCCATTTGGCCCTCGGTTGGAAATGATAAGAAATATGACCTTGCACTGTTTATTAAAATTTAAATTTCTTGGAGGGCCAAAGGGCTAAAACGATCCCTCTGACCCTCATTCGATTGGAGATGGTCTTAATGGCCAAATATCACTTATGTGACATAAGACTAAAAAAACATATCAGAAAAGTTAATTATTAATTTTGTGAATAGCATTTCTATGGTAAATAGTGATTTTTTATATTTTAACATCTTCCATTTTTGGTTGAAAGGACGAGACGACCAACTTACTACGTTGTTGCAAAAAATGATGATTTTGGCGTTTTAATTGTTGTAAACATTCCTAGTTTAAGTGTGATTGTATAAATCCTAGATTAGATTTGATTTTAGTTATCCTTTCCTATATGGACTTGTATTCCTTGGGGATGAAGGAATATCTTCTCTCCTTTTACTACCATAAATAAAGGCACTATGTGGGCACCAGCTAGGCGCTGTAGGCAGTCTAGACGGCGCTAGGCAGCGCTCTAGGCGGTCTGAAATTCTTGTCGTCGCACAAGGTGCTCTGCAACTCTCGCCACCACCGAAGGCTCTGCAAGACTGCAACTCTCTTGCCTCGAACTCTCGTAGCATCTGCAACTCCAAGTTTCCAACACCTGCATCGCATCTCGCACCTCGCATTTGGCATCTGCACCTGCATCGGAAACTATGGCTGCTTGCTAGAGATTTCTGGAAAAACTCAAAGAAGAGAGAGTGCGAAAAGAGAGAGAGGGGGAGGCTTAAACATTTGAATATGTGGTGGTGCAAGTGCAACCGTGCAAGTTGAGGACTGGGAATCCAAGGTCAAAAGCATGGTTTTAGAACTATGGACTCTGACATGGTTTTAATTATGAAACCACAAGGTGGACAGGTGATGTGAAAGAGTAGAGGTGAGGTGGACGGTTCATGGTTTTAGTAATGAAAACCACCCACCATATGGGTTTTTTATATTTTTAAAAGTTTGGTGTGTGTGTATATATATATATACACACACACATATATAAATCTTATATAAATTATAAATTATTTAGTTAATATTTTGTATTTTTTCCTAGGCAAGTATATCATATATGTACAAAAAACATTCACATATGTATCTTCTTTTATAAGAAATAACATATAAGTCAATAATTATTTACATTTGATATAATAAATTTAATTAATTCATAAAATATATTAAAAAATTACCT